ACCCTAAACCCTAAACCCTAACCCAAGTAAGAATCTTTCAACCCCCTCTCGCCCTCTTCATAAACCCTCAACCCGTAAGCCCAAACCCTAGACCCTAGACCCCAAACCCCTTAAGCCTAAACCCTAAACCCTAAACCCTAAACCCTAACCCCTTAACCCCTAAGCCCAAAAGCCCCGCAAGGGTGCCCTACACCTTCGGGAAGCGGGGCTCGGACACCATCCCCAGTGGCTTCTTGGACGAATAAGGTTTAGGGTTTAGGGTTTAGGGTTTAGGGTTTAGGGTTTAGGGTTTAGGGTTTAGGGTTTAGGGTTTAGGGTTCAGGGTTTAGGGTTCAGGGTTTAGGGTTCAGGGTTTAGAGTTTAGTGTTTAGGTTTTGGGTTTAGGGTTGAGGGTATAGGGTTTAGGGTTTTGGGCCCAAGCATGTACCATTGTAGCAAGAAGGAGTGAGTGAGGCATCAGGGATGCTTAGGGATAGTTGTGGGGTTTCCGGTTCTAGGCTTTGTGTACAGCTCTTGGTCTGTAGGGTTTGGCGCTTTGGTTTGTGGCGGTTTTGGGGGGCTTCTGGACGGCTTAGCGACATGGCAGCGCCTCATCGGAGCAGCTGAGTATGGAGACTACACCCATCGGTGGTACATGTTTGGATCCTACAGTCAGTCCCTGTTCAGGAAAGCCCTAAACCCTTAGCACCCCTAAGGCCTAAACCCCTTAAACCGTGGCACTCGGCCCCAAATGGGGTTTCTTCAAAACGGAGGCCCCTTCTTGGGGGTCTTAAAAGTTTCTGAGTTTTCGAATGCCGGGTGGCTTCAGGGGTCAGACTTTCGGGTCCAGGGCTCAGGTTTAAAGTTTAGGTTTCCTAAACCCCTAAACCCTAGACCCTACACCCGAAACCCCAATGTGTCGGGTGCATAGGCCTCGCGGCTCTCAGCAACTTCCTCTCGGAGGAGAGAATTGCCGCATCTAGCGGATTCAGGGTTCGAGTCCCTATAAAAGCCTATACTTTAGCTTCGGTTGCTTCGTGTCGCTTGAGGGCCACCCCCCACCTCAACCCCACACCATAAGCCTCTGTGATAAGCCCGAAGCCTCTGAACTTCACCGGAGGTCTAGGATTGTTTGCGTGGGTAGTTTCCCTCACGGGAGTCAGGTACGAGTTTCGCACAAGCCCGCCCGACAAGCTGATTGAAATTTCGGGGTTCAGGGTTTTGGATTCCCTTGGAACGTGACATTCAGAGCAAAGGGTCACATACCTGGGCCACGCTGTGAGATTTTGTCGGCTCGAGGCGTCCTAGCTAGTTGCGACTGCTTGCTGTTGTAGGGAATGAGGGCACTAGGGCCCTACATGTACCCTTTAAAGGAGTACATACTACTATTTGCTTAAGAACCCCCCCAAAAAATAGTACCTATATTTCCCTTACATGGAATGTTTTTTTCATTTGGCGGGGGGGGGGGGGGGGATCGGGGGGGGGGGGGAATCGGGGGGGATCAGGGGGGGGGGGGGGATAGTTTACGGTACCTCATTCCCTCATTCTCTGCTAAGAACCAGCCAGAAGAAGGTATTCCGGAGTCAACTGCTCGACCCCTGAGAGCGATTTCTATCCTCCGGAACCCTTAGCGTCTAGGGTTTAGAGTTTAGGGTTTAGTTTAGGGTTTAGGGTTTCGGGTTCAGGGATAAAGCCTAAACCCCAAGCCCCACAAGCCGAAGCTTCTTAAATTCCACCCCAACTCGCAACCCCCCCGGGTGCAAAACGTGATTTTTTCTAAGTTCGTGTCCTTTTCTGGGGCAATAGAAGGGTGCCGTATCAAACAAGCGGATCCACAAGCGGGCCGTTAATGCAGAGAAATACCCACCCTAAACCCAAAAGCCCTAAACCCTAAAACCCTAACACCCTAAACCCAAAAGCCCTAAACCCTAAACCCTACACCCTAAACCCTAAAACCCTACACCCTAAAAACCCGAAACCCTGCAGGACCCTCGCCACTTCGGAGTTCGCCTCTCCACGCTCTTTACTGGCAGCAACTTCATTCAGGAGTGGGTTTAGGGTTTAGGGTTTAGGGTTTAGGGATACTGGGGTTTGGAGTACTATACTTTAACACTGTTTTTGGTTCTGGGTTCCTATCATAGCAACTTATACCTTAGCGTGTATATTTTTTCTCCAGGGTCTGCTCCAGCGTAGGGCAGGAGTGGCATGTAGTGGCGACCTCCCACCCGAGAGTCTATACCTTTTGTTGGGTCAGGGTTGCGATTACTAGGACCCAGAGTGGGTCCCTCCTTTGTTTAGGGTTAGGTTCCCCTCATAATACACCCCCGTAAACCAAGAAGGACACCCCTTTCATTCCTAGGTTGCTCGTGAATCTAGATTAGGTGAATTCCACAAACTTCGAAATTCTCTCTGGAGTAGGATCAGGGCTCAGGCTTGTGGGGCGGGGGTGACAAGAATCCGTGGCTCCGGCACCGGATTGGCTGAGTTCCCCGTGTTTCTTGTTGGGCTTTGGGCTGGTAGGGTTCAGGTTGTACCTGAACCTGTTGCCTTAGGGAGTTACATAGTCTCTTAAGACAGTCCCTGGCTTTGGTTTTCTCAAGGATTTGTGAAGTTGAGCCCTTGATTTTACAGGCTAGAAGCTCTGTTTGGTTGAGTACATTTTTGCCTTTTTGACTGTTAGTCTGAAAGCAACCATGAAAGTAGGCACTGTGCCCCAAGCAAAATGGACTGCCATCAGAGGTCCAGGTAAGTTGAGTTTCGGTTCAGGATTTGGGGTTCAGGGTCCTCAACCCTAAACCCTAAACCCTAAACCCTAAACCCTAAACCCTAAACCCTAAACCCTAAACCCTAAACCTCACTTTCCAGCCCAGCCTTGGCCGGCAGGAGCGCCGGAAGGTAACGGCTGTGAACATGCCGGCAGCCGACTCCGACTCGTCCCTTTCCGACGGCAGCGAGGCCCCGAATTATAGGGTTTAGGGTTTAGGGTTTAGGGTTTGGGGTTTGGGGTTTGGGGTTTAGGGTTGGAATAAAAGCTGCCGGGGGCGGAATAGAAGCTGAGGGGGGGTGAAAAAAAAGCTGCCGGGGGTGGATTAAAAGCCTACGGGGTGGAAAAAAAGCTTTTGGGGGCTAAAGAAAAGCTGTGCCCTTTAGGGTTTAGGGTTTAGGGTTTACGGCTTGAGGGTTCGGAGGTGTCCAGGCTTGAACACAAAGAATGGCTTTGGGGCCTCTTGATTCGTGAAAGAGTTGGTGAAGTGGCCGAGATGTTGCAGTCGTGAGGAGCTATGTCCGATTGTCAGCGGGTTTGGGGTTTGGGGCTCGGTGTTTCGGGTTTAGGTGTAGGGTTTAGGGTTTAGGGTTTAGGGATTCGGGTCTAGGGTTTAGGGTTCAGGAGACTCAAGCTAAGGAAAGTTGGTCTTCAGAAAGAATCCGAGCTCCAATGAAGAAAGAACTGCAACGAAGTGTCCAGGTATACGATGCAACCAACCAATTGCCTCAACCGCAAAACTCTAAATTCCCAAACCCTAAACCCCTAAACCTTGTACTCTAACAACAAAATAAGCTGAACCCCTTACGGACCCAAAAAACCCTTTGAAAAGAAACGGGAAAACCCTAAACTGAGCCCTGCAACCCTAATTCCCTTAAAGCCTAAACAGCCCTTCCTTGACAACCAGCCCCGAATACCCCTTACAATCCTTACAACCCAACAACCCTAAACCCCCTGAACCCTAAACAGCCCTTGCTTGACAACCAACCCCCAAAGACCGTTGAACCCCTAAAACCCGAAACCCCTTCAGCCCCTAAACCCTAAACCGCCCTTCCTTGACAACCAACCCCTCACTCAGCCAATAGTCAACCTTTACACTTTTTGGGTTTCCATATTTACCAGGAATATCAAAGTTAAACCCGAAACCACAAACCCTAAACCCTAAACCCTAAACCCTAAACCCTAAACCCTAAACCCTAAACCCTAAACCCCTAAACCCTAAACCCTAAATCCTAAACCCTAAACCCTAAACCCTAAACCCTAACCCTAAACCCTAAACCCTAAACCCTGTTCTTTCCCCTGGCTATTGGAGAAGTAAGGCCCCTGCGAAGTCCAGGCCTCCAGCTCCTCGAAGTCCTCCGGAAGCGCGAGCTCGGCCGGGCGCTTAGGGCAAGAAGGGGATCATTGGGGTTTAGGGTTTAGGGTTTAGGGTTTGGGGTTTAGGGTTTGGGGTTTAGGGTTTGGGGTTTGGGGGTTCTGGAGGTATTTTGGGGGGCTTTGGGGGGGTTTGGGGGTTTAGAGTTTCAAGGGTTTACGGTTTGGGGTTCGCAGGAGGGAGTTCAGAAGCGGCTCGACAAGTAGGGGTTGCGTAGCGGGCATTTGGGGTTGGGGGGAGGATTCTAACAGGTGCACCCAGCTCCTATAAATCCAGAACCTTTTGTACTCACATGGGTTCTTTACATTTTGGGTTGGGGCTAGGAAACAGTTCCACTCTGCTTTCGGGGTAGGGCTTGGCTGAGGCGATCGTTTTTGTGTGTGTGGAGTGGGATGGGCCTCCAGAAGCCCTGTGCGGCTTACAGCGGTCACCAATACGCTACGAAGCGCTCCAAGTAGCTTTGTAAATATCGAGTGCCTTGGTAGCCCAGTGGCATTGTTTTGCCTTTTTTGTTGGTTCTAGGTTCCTTATAAAGTCACCAATGCCTTTATGATAATATGGTCACTGGGCTACTAAGAGACCCTGAACAATGAACCCCTAAAGCCCAAGCCCCAAACCCCAAACCCCAACCCCCAAACCCTAAACCTCAACCCTACACACCAAACCCTTAACCCTGAACCCTAATTAACCTCAAACCCTAAACCCCAAACCCTCAAGCCTAAACCTCCTACACCCTACCCTAAACCATAAACCCTAAACCCTAAGCCTCAAACACCCTAAACCCTAAACCTCCTCCACCCTAAACCCTAAGCCCTAAACCCTAAACCCTATACCCTAAACCCTAAACGATGTCAGGTGGCGTCGAGCCTCTCCAGCGAGGAGATGAACAACTTCGACGCCCAGAAGTGGTACCAAAAGGCAGCTGGGTTTAGGGTTTCGGGTTAGGTTTTAGGGGTTGGGTTGTAGGAGGCTTTAGGGTTTGGGAAGTAGGAGGCTTCGGGTTTGAGGTTTAGGGTCTAGGTTTCAGAGTACCTACTAGGGGGGTACGTATAGTACGGATTGAATGATTATGTAGAAAGTGAGGGGTATACCCTACTTCGGGAGGTGATTAGGGCTTTGGGCTTAGGGTTTAGGGTTCAGGTGTGTCAGGTTTCGACTAGTGACATTCGCTTGAGCAAACCAGGGAGTGGGGATGTCATGACCACACAAAGGCCTTAGCTTAAGAAGCCAAGCAAGCCTCCCCTAAGCACCACCCTAAACCCAATAAGCCAAAACCCTAAACCCAAAACCCTGAACCCTAAACCCTAAACCCTAAACCCTAAACCCTAAACCCTTCGAAAGGGCACCTTAGGAAGGGAATAAGGGCCCCCTACACCGTCTGATGCTGGCCGGTTGCCTCCCTGCTCCCTTCCGAGGACCCAGAGTAGGCCCTCATTTCTTTGGTTCGGGTATAGGCTCACCCTAAACCCTAAACCCTAAACCCTAAACCCTAAACCCTAAACCCTAAACCCTAAACTCCAAACCCTAGACCCTAAACCCTAAACACTAAACCCTAAACCCTATACCCTAAACCCTAAACCCTAAACCCTAAGAAAGGGCACCCTTCTTATTCCTAGGTTCCTCTTGGGTCTAGCTTATCCTCCCACCCCGATGCCCCGAAGCCCAACAAGCCCAGCAGACTCCGAGTTGGTGCCTGAGTGAAGTTGGGGGGGGGGGGGGGGTTTGGAGGGTTAGGGTTTAGGCTTTAGGCTTTAGGCTTTAGGCTTTAGGCTTTAGGCTTTAGGGTTTAGGGTTTAGGGTTTAGGGTTTAGGGTTTAGGGTTTAGGGTTTAGGGTTTAGGGTTTAGGGCGGGGAGTAAGCCCCAAAAACAACAGGGCCCCTCAAAGCCGGGCGGGGGTGGAGGGGAGGGGGTTGAAGAATCGCGACCCCAAAATCTCGGGGCCTCCTCTTTTGTTTGTTTGCTTTTTTTCGAGTTTAATGACTGCAGGGACCCTAAACCCTAAACCCTAAACCCTAAACCCTGAACCTTAAGGGTTTTGAGGGTGTAGGTTTTATTCAGGGCTCAGGATTTGAAACTGGCTGGCCTATAGCCCGCCACCTCCCCCTTTTGAAGGTCGACAAGCTCGTGTCCACTCTACAGAGCAAGGTGTGGTGGCTGAGGGCAAGAATGTAGGGTTTGGGGTTTAGGGTTTCGGGTTTGGGGTTTAGGGTTTAGGTTTCAGGGCTTGGGCTTTAGGAATAATTACGAGCAGTATTCCCTTATGCAACCCACATAACTATGCTATAAGGTCCTGTTTTCATTTGTGACGGGTGGGGAGGGGGGAAGGGTAACATTAAGAGGGATGTAAGTACCTCATCAGGGGCTGCATCCGCGTGTCTTCGGAGTCAGTGTTCGGGCTGGGTGCTGTCCAGGGCCCTCGTAATATTCTTTGTCTCTCGGTCTCTCTCTCTCTCTCTCTCTCTCTCTCTTATAGATATACACACGTGCATATTCGGTGATGCTGCCACTTATGCTAATACCATAGTCCCGATTAAGGACTGCTAGTATAAGGGGAACCTCCCAATATCAGTAATTAATAGGACATGGAGAGATACCAACATATGTAACATCTATATTTTTAATTAGTAATTGAAAATATAGATGTTGCATATGTTGGTATCTCGCCATGTCCATCTACCGATCTTTGAAGAGGGCAGACAAACAGGAAGGGAGGGAGAATCTGTCTTGGGACACTTTGCGGTCAAAAGTGCCGCTTTAGGGGCTTCTGGGTTTCGGGTTGAGGGGCTTCAGGGGTTTGAGTTACCCTAAACCCTAAACCCTAAACCCTAAACCCTAAACCCTAAACCCCAAAAGAGACTCTAATTACCAAGCACTTGCGTCTCAACCCGGAGTTCTAGGTTTAAGGTTTAGGATTTCGGGTTGGAAGTTCAGCCCTAAACCCTGAACCTCAAACACCTCAAGCACCTCACAAGCTGGGTTTAGGGTTTAGGGTTTAGGGAACGAAGTACAAACATGTGAACATGCATGTAACAATCCGTCAGATGATGTAGAACTGGATGAGGTGGAAGCGCCCCCCCCCCCCCCCCCCCCGATGTAGGTTTAGGCTTAGCGCCTCATGCCCTGCACCATACACCGCGGAACTCCTAAACCCTAACACCATTTTCTCAAAGCCCTCAACTCAAACCCCAATCCCTTGCCGCTAAACATCGCTAAACCCTAAACCTAATCGCCCCCCCCCCCCCCCCCCCCCCAAAAAAAAAAAAAAAAAAAAAATCCCATGGCGCCAGTCGGAGTGGGAGACGATCTCCGCGCTGAGGGAGGGGTGCACCCTCTGGGGAGGGGATGTGGGGGTCTCCGAAAATTTCGGGTTTAGGGACTGGGGGTCCCTTTAAGGGCATTATAATATGCTATTTGGGGCCTTTAAGGGCATTATATTATGCTATTTGGGGCCTTTAAGGGCATTATATGCTATTTGGGGGTATAAAAGGGGTACCCCTATTTCGGGAAATGCCCATATCGGGAATCAATCTGCGACTGAGGGTTTTGAGGTACTAAGGGATTGGAGGGTTTAGGGTTAAGCAAGGGTTTAGGGTTCAGGGTTCAGGGTTCAGGGTTCAGGGTTTAGGGTTCAGGGTTTAGGGTTTAGGGTTTAGGGTTTAGGAAGTTTAGAGCGTAGGGTTCCAAAGTAAGCCTTACTTCCGCAAGGCAAGTGAACCCTAAATCCCTGAAGTTGCCGCTGTACATCCACCCCGTCCTAAATTCAAGGGACTAAAGCAGGTGCCCTTATGAGGGACCTTCGTTATTTAGGGGTTATTTGGGGGACCTGTTACCCATTCATAAATCTTCGTTGCTACAACTTGTTGGTAGCCCAGTGATGCCCTTTTCCATTTTATTGGTTCAAGCTCCACTTGTCAAGTACCCAACCCAAACAGGGTGCCCTTAAATATGTATGGTTTTGTGGGCTACCAGTACTTCAACTTAACTTGCGAGTCCTTTTTGTGTCCATGTGCCTTTATAGTAAAAACTTGGGCCCTGAAGCTACTATATTCGAACCCTTTTAAGGGCCAAGCATATTATAGGTATAAACCCTAAACCCTAAACCTTTAACCCCCTAAACCCTCAACCTCTACAAAAAGAGTCGGTCATAGTAACGGGCCCCTCACTGTATGGAGTTCAGGACGTCGTGCGGTAACGGTAACATCTAGGCATGTTTGCTACTGCTAGATCACCCTAAACCCTAAACCCTAAACCCTAAACCCTAAACCCTAAACCCTAAGGGGGGGCTCCAATTTCAGGGCAGGCCGGGCAGGCCCTGATCCTCTAGATTGGAGAAATGGGGTATAGAAGCGCTCCCAGCTTTACGAACCCATGGGGGCCCTAAGCCCTACACCCGAAGCCCTGAACTTGAGATGGTCCCCCTTGTACTAACAGTCCTTCATAGGGATTGTGGTACCCCCGATGTCAATCCCTATTAAGGGGGAACATCCCGACCCAAAACCCTGGACCCTCCCGAATACCCTGAGATGATGGGCTTTCAAGCTCTTTTGACTTACTAAGCCTACTTAGTGTCCCCTGGTAACCCTTCTAGAATCCCCATAACCCACCTTACTCGCCCTGCTTCCTAAGTCAAAAGAGCTTCCAAGTGGGGAGCAGGTACTCCTTCAAGGACTCCGAGCGTGCGGCTGACCTCGTTCACGTCGAGGCTGGAAGGAAAGGGCTTAGGGTTTAAGGTTTAGGGTTGAGGGTTGAGGGTAAGGGTTTAGGGCTTAGTATGTTCCCGTAATAATTGGGTTTAAGAGGGTTCTATTCAGGAATGTTTGTCAGGGGGTCGCTCTAGGTACTATAGGGCTAGGAATAATGACTAGTAGTATTCCCTTCTGGTCCCGATCGAATTATGCTGTTGACTAACTGCCCAAAAACTTACTTACCCTAAACCCTAATCCCTAAACCCTAAACCCTAAACCCTAAAAGGGCGGTTGAGGTTTCAGGGTTTCGGAGGACTTCCCGGAGCGGGGCGCTGAAACCCGCGCACTCTCCGCAACTTGACCTCCTCCTTTGCGATGCTCTCGTTCTGCAAAGCTAAACCCTAAACCCTAAACCCTAAACCCTAAACCCTAAACCCTAAGCCGAGAAGCAGCTGTATGAGCGGTGGGAGTCTAACAGCCGGTCTACAAGACAAACCGAGGAGGCCTTAGCCTGGGCTTGGGGCTTCGGATTTCAGGGCTTAGAGTTTAGGGTTTAGTTGGGACTGGGCTCTAACACGTTTTCTTTACAGGAATTTCACTCTTATATTCGGGTATATTTCACTCTTATCTTTTGGGATTTCAATCTTATATTTGGGTGCATTTCACTCTTATCTTTTGGGATTTCAATCTTATATTTGGGTGCATTTCACTCTTATATTTTGGGATTTCAATCTTATATTTGGGTTCATTTCACTCTTATATTTTGGGATTTCAGCCTTCTATTTTGGCACATTTCGCTCTTATCTTTTGGGATTTCAATCTTATATTTGGGCGCATTTCGCTCGTATCTTTTTGGGATTTCCTTCTTTGGGAAGTCTAGGGAATCTTGACCTAGAGAGTTCGGGCTTTGGGCTTCAGGGTTCAAGGATCGGGAACTGCGATGCTTCAACCTTCAGGCTTTGGGGTCAGGGATCGGGATCGGGATGTAGGAGGCTAAGACTTGGGCCGTTTATGTGACGGGTTAAGGGCCAAGCCAAGACACAAGATGGAGCCCTCGCAGTCCTGTTTCAGCTCGGCCCACCGATCTCGAATCGTGGCTTGCAGGCAGCTGACTCGAGTCAAACCCTCAACCCTAAACCCTAAACCCTAAACCCTAAACCCTAAACATACCCCCCTAAGCCCTAAGCCCTAAGCCCTAAGCCCTAAACCCTAAACCCTAAACCGTCAAATGTATCGCATTGGCACAGAGTAAGTTAGGAATTTTGGTAAGTGCTTCGAGTCCACTGCCGAATATGGTACTTACTCAGTGATATGGCTATCTCCACGTCACCCAGAAGCAGGAAAACTCAGACCTTTGGCCTGAGACCTGCTCAAAAGCCTTTCCGTTTCTACTTTCCTCTGAGCATTGCACAAGCTCGCTGCTTAAGAACCTTGTCCAAAGGAAGCTCCTGTGATCGCACGATGCTGAAGCACCTATTGACCAAGCCCACTCGGGTTTCGCCTGCCTGGAGATCACGAGTTAGTGCCTGTGCCATGGTGACACTCATCTGAAACTCGGTAAGGCTCCACAAGCTCGGGTTCTCGTCGTTGGCATCGACTCTCTGAAAAAACTGGGCATCTTTGCTAACAGCTGCTGCCAGCTGTTGGCATTCCGATGTCATTGCTGTTACACTGTCTGCTTTCCCAACAGGCAACGAACGAATGACTTTGACCCATGTACCCGTAGACGTCAAAAAGTCCTTTGCCTTCGGGGCAAAGAGCGCCAACATCTGAACCTTCGGATCTTGGAAGAGAGACTGGACGGACTGCTTGTTGAGGGGATCGGCCTGGAAAAGAGCAGGCACCTGGTGTCGGGACCGAACATCCTTGAACATGGCCTGGCCACTTGAAATCATATCCTGCAAGTCCCCATGGCCCAAGACGATTGTCTTACTGAAGCAAGACTTGATGTAGGCCTCGAGCTTGCTATAGTAGTCCTGAATCGTGCCGTGCTGCAGATTGTCACTCTGGGCAAGGACATTCAAGATGGCATTGTGTTGCGCAAAGGTGCCCTGCAGCTTCTCGAGCACGGGGACCGCTTCTGCCAAGAGGGCAGCCTTAGTTTCGAAAACGAACTGAACATTTTTCGCTTGGAGTGCCTTGACATAGTCCTCCAAAACCGCAGAAAAGGCCTTGCAAGCATCGACTTTCTGGAGAAGCCCATTGAAGACGGTAGCATGTCGAGTCATCTGGACCAAAACTCCACATAGACACAAGAACGAGCAATGCACCATGGCATCCTTCGCCTCAATCGGGGGAGCATCGCCAAGCTGGGAAGGCTGGGGTTGGGGCATCCGAACCAAAGCATCCGACCCCTTTAGGACCGCGGCAAAGCTGATGTAGATGAAGCTGAAGTCCACATCAGCAGCTTCGGCTCCAGCGGGGATGCTTTGCACGACTTCCTGAAAGTTGGCGTCAGGGACCATGATCTTTGCAGCGAAGTTGGCAAAGTCGCTGCATGTTGTCGAAATCCAATCCTTCGCAACCTTCTCAAGGAAGGACCTTAAGTTGTTCCACCCCGTGTGGAACCACGGAGCCACGGTGTCAATCTTGGTGAGCAGGTCGTTGTTGTGCAAAGAAGCATAGAGGTCGATGATCTCCCTGGCCATAATCGCCCCCTCCTTGACAGAGACCTGACTGAGCTTGACGACGTGAGAAAAGGCACCATGGAGCTGCTTGAAGAAAGACAATGCAGGCAGAAGTGTGTTCTCCAAGTCTTGAGCATAGTCCTTGCCCAACAACTTGACCAACGGCACTTTCTGGAGAGGTTGCATGGCATCCAAGGCCGACATCAATCGGCTACACTCCACTGCTTCGCCATCCTGAAACCCCTCGCCTTTGCAAAGTCGCCCGATCAACTTCTCCATAGCCTCGAACTGCTTAGTTTTGTAGGCCACCACAGACAACAAACCCGCCTTGAGCTCCCGAACTTTCGAGTCGACAGTCTCCATGTGGTCTGTGCACTTGGCCTTCAAGGATGTGGATGCTCCATCGACAGTGGCCTGCCATTTGGCCACCATGTCACAGATCTTGGGTTGGGAGGGGATGATCAACTCCATCTCGCCCTGCTTATCCTTCAACAGGGTGTCCACATTCATGACCTTCAACTCAGCAGCAATTTGAGCTGCAGCTGCCAAGTCGATCTCCAAAAGCAAATCGGCCCGGAATTGCTGAGTCTTCTTTGCAGCCAACTCAGAAAGGAAAATCCCGACTGGAAAGAGGGTGAGTCCTTTGTTGAAGGGGCCTTGCTTCTTCAGAAGAACTGCCCGTGTCGACTGCAAAGTCTCGCAAGTTTCCTCATCAAGGGCTTTGCTGCTCATTGTAAGATCGACCAACAACTCGAAACGATGAAGTTCGGCCTTCAAGCCTTGGCTGGATTCCAAGCTCTTCTCGCCGTAGATGTGCGAGTTCTTGAACTCGGCAAGGAACTGGACGAGGCGATCGAGAGCTGCGCGCAAGTCGTCCTCTGTGACTGCAGCCTTGCCAGAGTCACAGTCAGAAGAAAGCTCTTCCGACAGCTTGGAACCATTCGAAGCTTCTCCAGCTTCACTCGTTTTGCTTTTGGCCTTCACACTGAGCAACAGGTTGTTCACAGTTTGCACTACTGTGGCCATCTGAAACTCGAACACGGGAGCCATGCTGTCCGGCTTCTGGGGGTCCATGGTCTCGTTCATGAGAGAAGCGATGCCAGTGGGGAAATTGTCCTTCATGGCCGGGTCGAGGTACTTCATGAAGGTCTTGAAGTCATCGTCATTGACAAAGGCAGCCAACTCCTTCTTGGAAAGCACACGGTTGACTTGTTGTGGCAACTGGACTCCGATGTCCCGAAGAGCTTGTGCCCTGCCTGCCAAAGTCGACGCCGATGCTTCTTCATCGTGGAAGGCCTCGATGAAATCGGCTGCGGACTGAACCAAGAGCAGCTTGTCTTGCAGGCCTTTCCAGACATTGGCTGGTCTTGAATTTTGCCCCTGTTGCAAGACGGCGTCTGAGTAGAAAGCCACCATGTCCTGCAAGAAACCCACCCTTGCTTAGCTTCCCAAGCCTTCCAGCCCAAGTCTCAGAGGGCTCCGAACCACTCCTAGCTTACCAACAGCAAGAAAGGGCCCAAATCATCGGGGTTTAGGGTTGAGGGTTGAGGGACTGCTTCCTCCGACAGCCGACTCTGGATCTTCTCCAGGAGCTGGTTCGTCTTGTTCAAGGCAACCCCCATGATGGTGTCGGCATTCTCGAGTGAAGCCTGCAGTTGCTGAGCAGCAAGAATGGCGGATTCACTCTTCTCGAGTTCCTTGTTTTCTGCAGCCTTCTTTTTGCTTGTGGCTTTGGCCGGAAGCTGACCCCAAGCAAGCACGTCACCAGCATTGGAGGCAACATCAGAAGCCAGAGGCGACTGACTTGGGGCATGGAATGTGTAGGGGGCATCTTTCGACTTTCGCTTCTTGTTGCTGCCGACTCGTCTAGCAGAAGATCCTGGCTGTCCTGGCTCATCATCTTCCGAATCTGCAGGCTGAGGACCTCGACTGCTGGCGGATCCCGTGCCCCAAAGAATGCTGGCGAGGTCCTCTTCCATGCTCGAAGTCTTGCCAGGCATCTTCAGCATGGGCTCATCTTCGGGGTTGTCGCCTCGCTGGACCTTGGCCTTCAGCTTGGATTGGAAGCTGTCGAACACAGCTTCGCTGGCATGGTCGTTCTCCTCTTCCGATTCGGAGAAGCATTTCTCGCGAATTCTCTTGGCAGACTTGCTGGATGTGTTCAGGACTTCGATACAACCCACAGCCCATTCTTCTTTCAAGACTCCCTTCACGGTTTTCCCACCGTGGCTGATGGAGGTGAGCTTTTTGGGGACAGGCAGGCCCTTCTTTGTGAGCATCGCCGGTGTCCACAAATAGCCCAGGCACTCCCGAGTCTCGAGAGCTTGGCACTGTTCAGTCTGCACTTTGCTTTGAGCTGCCGACCGATGTCGCTTTCCTGAACGTCGTCT